ATCTTTTTAAGAACTCAGTAGTTTTAGGGCCATAATTGATCTCTATGATACTCATAGCCAGACCCCTTTGCAATCAATTGTCCTAATCCATAGAGACTCCAGTGGGAAGATTTCTTATAAACCAATGTGTCTTGACTATCAGTATCACTGATTCCCTGAAAATATTTCACCTTCACTGAGGATTATAAACAATCAATTTGTTTTGGAACAGCACCCAAAATTTTCAATGGCTAGCTCTTTGTACTGGGGAATGGGACCCAATTCTGTGATAGGCCACCCAGTGGATGAGCTGGTGGTACCCCATGGCTTCAACTGTATTCCATGATAATGATAAGACGACTCCTCCTATACACTTTAAAATGCTTGATTTCCATTTTTTAACCCAAAAACATAAAAATTCCCAAGAATACACTAAAATATTATGACAAGGCACTGTACAAAACTAGGGCTGGTTGGGCTGGTTGGGCTGGGGTTGTGGCTCAGAGGTAGAGTGCTTGCCTAGAATACATGAGGCAGTGGGTTTGATCCTCAGTACCACATAAAAATAGAATGGGGGTTACTGTGTTCACCCAAAACCAGAACAAATATTAAAGAAAAAAAAAACTAGGGCTGGTAATACTAATTAATTTGAGTGACCCACGCTTTTTAGGCCAACTACTTTAGGATATTAGATATCAGACAGGCATGACTTCTTACCACAGATATTTCACTATAAGGAAGTAACCATAAAATATCTAAACATTCATTTTCTAACAAACACTTTAGCAGTCATTCTTCATTCATTCACTAAAATGTTTCTTATACAACTATTTTATAATGGTGTTTGGACATGAGGATCAATCACAGGCCACCAAAGAAGAAAAACACACAAATTATCCTAAAACACCAACAGGATCCATGTGAAGCCTTTTAATATACTTACTGTGATCCACAATATATGCTCGACAAATATTATTCTTTCATTCCTGGACATCATTTAGAACCCTAGGACTTTAGTACTCTTTGTTTTCAATAGTTGATAGTTTCATTTGTACACATCCTTACTTCCATCTCACCAGGTGCCTGCTATCTTCTGTAATCCAAGATGTTTCCTTTTAGCTTTCAACAACATACAAAGTTCAGAAAAAAAGAATTACCTCAGAATATCAATGAAAATAAAAGACATTTGAAGAAATGGCAAAGTTCTATACTAGAAAAGGCATATCTATATGTTCTAAGTTTTTACAAAAAGCCAAGATCTTTTTCAAGAATAATGTGCTCTGTAAAGTCTAGTGAGGCACACTGACTAGATTTCAGAGTGTCAATTTAAGCTCAAATTTTGAAATCATCATATTCAGACAAGGTCCTGTGTCATCATGAACCTAGTCAAGGCCTCACAATATACTCTTATTTCTACTGATAAGGTTATATTACCTTGAAGGGTTTATGTTTCTGTCTTAAGTGCAGCTAATGTGGTTTTCAGTGTCAATTTCAGATCCAATCACTGAATAGGATCCACACTGATGACACACCATGAAATTCAGTGACCAAATTCTTCCCAAAATTCAGTAGCCAAATCCTCTCTTCCCTTCAGTTATCAACTAAGTTGACAAAAGGATATCATAAAAGCCTGAAAAAGTTTCAACATACAAATAACCCATGAGACTCAGATTTCATTCTCCTACCACAAAAAATTAAATAATCATGATAATATGCCTTGCTTTATTTCAGAATATTCACATACTGAGATTATGTGTACAAACAGGACCAAGGGAACTAATATGCAATTATGAGTAAGACAGTAAGATCAAATAGATAATAAGCACTTTAAATTTTCGCCCATTATATCAGTAATGGCTATAACCTACTGCTTGTTGAAATTCAATAAAGATAATAGTTGAGGTTAACATACTAACAACAGTGTATTGTTTTCTTTTTGGGGGGTGGTGGAAGGTGCCAGGGATTGAATTCAAGGGCACTCAACCACTGAGCCACATACACAGACCTTTTTTATATTTTATTTAGAGACAGTGTGTCAATGAGTTGCTTAGCACCTCACTGTTGCTGAGGCTGGCTTTGAAGTTGTGGTCCTCCTGCTTGAGCTCCCAAGCTTTTGGGATTATAGGCATGAGCCACTACACCTGGCACTGTATTATCTAATCTTTGAAACAAGATGTTCAAAGTATACTCATTGACATGTATGACTAAAAATAATAAAAATACCAAAAGATGATTGTGAAAATTCCAAATAACACTATTATCATATTGTATATAAATCAATTTCCATCTTAATACTGTGCTATAAGGAATAATCTCTAACAAACCAAATCCCCAATGCATGCACTTCTGACTTCTAAAATCTGACATGATGTAAAAAATGAACTATTGAATWTAAGAAAGTAGAGGGTTCCCGGGCTGGGGATGTGGCTCAAGCGGTAACGCCCTCACACGTGCTGGGCGCTGGGTTGGATCCTCAGCACCGCATACAAATAAAATAAAGATGTTGTGTCCACCGAAAACCGAAAAATAAATGTTAAAAAAATCTCTCTTTCTCTCTAAAAAAAAAAAAAAAAGTAGAGGGTTCCCAAAGTAACTCTCAAAACTCTTTAAGGAGCAATTCAAATGACCTATGAATATATTATACTATAAACACTACATAACCAACTTTAACACAGCAGTTAAAAGTAATATCCMAGAATTCTATTTCAAACTAATATTCAAACCACTATGAATAAACTTATCAAACATTATATACAACTTGAATCTATGGAGTCATTAGTAACCATGCAATTCAGGAAATCAGAAAATTATTGTCTACTTATTTCAGATGTGACATAAATTCACTTGAATATCAGAATATAGGATGATTTCTTTGTTTTTGTTTTGAATTGAAGCCAGGGGTGCTCTAACATGGAACTCTATCCTCATTATCAGCCCCTTTGTTTTGTTTTTGCTGAGACAGCATGTGGCTAAGTTACTGCAGCTGGCCTAGAACTTGAAATCCACAGGCATGCACCACCATATCTGACAATGATTTATAAGTATTTATTAACAAGGATGTTTGAAGACTGATGTCAATATATGTCCATAATGGAACTCTAAAAAAGCACAGATCTGGCAGTATAAAGCAAAATATTGATATATTTATCTAAATCCACTCAAGTATATGAAAAGATTCCCGAGTCATCTTCTAGTATATAACCTACAAATAGGGGTCTTGAAAAGTCCAAGAAACTTCAGGCAAAAATGAGTAGTATTATCACAATCCAAAATAACTATCAGAAGTAAGCATATTACAGAACTYGGGTTGTAGCTCAGCGGTAGAGCACTCACCTAGCACAAGTAAGGCACTGGGTCTGATCCTCAGTGTCACATAAAAATAAATAAATAAAACAAATGTATTGTGTCCACTTACAACTAAAAATAAAGTATTTTAAGAAAAGAAGTAAACATCTTTCAGAAAACAGAAATCTTGAAATTCACCTATAACTTGCAAAAAAGCCATTTCTAGTTAAGGGAATAGCATTAGAAAATAGAAAATCTATCAATCAAAATCTAAATAAGAGGCAAATATCCAAACCAGAAGTCCTATGCAAACATGAAATATTTAGCTATAAAATAAAAAGAATTGCATTATAATAAAAAGAATTGAATTATAAATATGTTGGTTTAAAAAAAAGATGGGGGCTGGGGATGTGGCTCAGGCGGTAGCTCTGGCATGCGTGCGGCCCTGGTTCGATCCTCAGCACCACATACCAACAAAGATGTTGTGTCCGCCGAGAACTAAAAAATAAATATTAAAAATTTTCTCTCTCTCTCTCTCTCTCCTCTCGCACTCTCTCTTTAAAAAAAAATAAAAAATAAAAAAAGATGATCAGAAAACTTGTTTTCATATCACCCATATACTTCTAAGACCAAAAGTATCTATCATGTTATACACACTGTCTTAATGCTTGTTAATAAAACAAAATTGCTTTAAAATTTATCAACTCTGAAAAATAGCATCAAAAAACAATATTGCATCTGTTATGAGTTTCTTAATCAATTTAAGATTTCGCCACTTCCTTAGTGGATAGCTAGTGGTAATAAATCCTAGAAACTACCTTTAGTAGGGATAGTCACTTTGATGGTTCCTTTTCCTTGGGTGCACTTGCAAGTAAATAATTGAAAGGACAGAACAGAAGACATATGTACAATCAACACTAGAAAAAAATTCAATAGAAAAATAAATACAATCAAGGGTTGGGCTCAGTTGTACAGTGCTTGCCTAGCACATATGAGGCACTGGGTTCGATCCTCAGCACCACATAAAAAATAAATAAGTAAAATTAAGAAAGCATAATTACAATCAACTTACCATTCTTTATGTAGTTAACATGAATCTTTAATAGCAGTACACAAGGAATTAGTTTCCTACCATCAATATAGGTAATTCACTCACTAACTATTAAAAATCTTAGCAGCAAAATCACCCCATCTTACTCACTCCTTTTAAAAATGAATTTTTTTCTCCATAACAAACAAGAAGGAGATATTAGGGTATTCCTTAACTATTTAACTTAAAGACAATTTATTTGTCTCCATAATTTAAATACATCACTATTGATATGGTTAGGAATATTGAAATATAAATTTTAGTGTGTAATTTACAAAGTGTCCTTTTTACATTTTAATACAACTTAATTATCTCGAATTGCAAATCTGTCTCCCTATAACAACAGTCTGCCCTTCATTTAATATTTTATAAATGAATACTTACATGCAGGTAGACAATGTTTACCTAAGTCAGTTTGAGACAACAGGATCAGATCTTCTATTCTGATTTCAGGATACTGTAAAAATTGATTAACTAAGGTAAATTTCCAAGGAAAGGCTATCTCTTGTTGCAAATAATTGAAATTAATGAGCACAGAGTCCAAGTCAGTGGCACAATTTCCTTCAGTAAATATTGTATCCTTACAAGGCCTTGCATTCATCTCTACTTTATTTTAGATATTGTAACATAGTAAAGTAAAAAGCAGAAGACTATTTATGAATTCATAACAACTTAAAGCCCCTGTTTCATGAGTTTCCTATCTGCAAATGTTATCAATCAACACTGGTCATGCACAAAGTAGAAGAAAGTCAGAAAGCAGAAACAAATAGCACAATCATTTTACCTTAAAAAGTATTTTGAATAAATTCCTTAATAGGATTCAATACCAGAAAAAATGTTTTCACTCTGACCTCACCAATATAAATAGGCAAAGAAAAAATATACAAGTATCTCATGGTTTAATTGCTCTATGCATTTATTGTCTATTATTAATGCAGAAAGGGGACAAAAAGCTCACAAACAATCTACACAATTCACAAGACGCAGAGCAGGGATAAAGGTGACTTAGATGAATCAACAGTATTCTAGGGTCTTGGTGGACGCATTCCTGGGGGAGGTGGACCTGGAAAACAAAAAATAAAACAAAATTCAATGAAATAGTCAGAAAAATAATATATATATATATATATGCATTCAAAGCCCTGGCTGCCACTCTCAAGCTCCTATAATCCCAATTCACCTCTAATTCCTGGTGGTGGGGGCCTCATTCCAGGAGGAGGCATGCCTATTGGCGTCCCTCGAGCAGGGGGAAGCCCAATTGGTGGGCCCATAGGTGGTCTCATACCAGGTGGAGGAGCCATGATGCCTACAAAGAAAACAATTCAGAAATAAAGACCTTATAAGTTGGCTCAGGAAAGTTAGACTTCAGCCCAAAGTAATGAGAAGAAATGAGCTGGGTTCAATCCAGAAAGAAAGAGGGAAAAGCAGCAGAMAGTGAGGATCAAATAATTTCTTTTTAAATATTGCTCTTGTTTGCCATCTCCAATTCAAAAAGAATTCCTACTCTTTCATTAAAAACTAATTATATACTCCCAAAATCTCTAATTGAGCAYACTTAGGTTGTGTCTGAATCCATTATCTAAGTCAGTTGTTGTTGTTGTCTCAAACTGACTTAGATAATGGCATATGAACTCTYGGAGATACAAATTATTCTTTTTCACAAATCCCATACCTGGTGGTGGGGTTGCTCTGCCTACAGGTGGGGGTGGAGTCCCCCGTCCTGGTGGGTACTGTGTTGGGGCTCCAGCAATGCTGGCAGTAGCAGCAACA